CCCTGCTCAGCAGGGAGTCTGCTTCTCCCTCTGACCCTCTTCCCTCTCATGCTCTCTATCTCTCATTCTCTCTCTAATAAATAAATTTAAAAAATTAAAAAAAAAAGAAATGAATCCAAAGATACAGGAAGAGAAACAAACACCAAGCAGGACAACTAATAGGAAATCCATCCTAGGACACATACTGTAATAAAACTAGAGAACATCAAACACAATGAGAAGATTCTAAAAGCAAAAAGGGTGAAAAGACCATCTGCAAAGGAATAAAAATTTGATTTACATCAGCCTCCTCAAAAGCAATGAATGAAGCCAGACAACAATGAAATATTTTCAGAATTCTGGAAGCCATTTCAAAACTGTGTACCAGCAAAACTGTCTTTCATGAATGATGGTAAAATAAAGGCATTTTTAGATAAAGAAACACTGCACATGTTTTCCACCTACAGAGTCTAAAATATTTACCAGATATGAAGATAATTACTAAAATAATTTCTAAATTATGCATTTTAGGAAGAAGGAGAATATTCTGGGGAAAAAGGTCTAAGATACAAGGACTACTCAGCATCAATATAAACAAATCAAAACAAACACAGTAGGATAAAATAACACTACCACCAATAATATCAATTAATGAAGGGGGAGCTGAAAAACTGGAAATGGAAAAAAGAATTCAAAGTTCCAAAATTACTGGATACATTACTTGATAATAAGTATTAAAACTATAGGGGCGCCTGGGTGGCTCAGTCGGTTAAATGTCTGCCTTTGACTCAGGTCATGATCCCAGGGTTCTGGGATTGAGTCCCATATTGGGCTCCCTGCTCAGCACAAAGTCTGCTTCTCCCTCTGCCTCTGCCTACCGCTCCCCCTCCTTGTGCTCTCTCTCTGTCAAATAAATAAATAAAATCTAAAAAAAAAAAAAAAAATAGCCCCAAACTGGAAACAAGACAAATGTTTAGTAATAGCTGAATGGATAAATTGTGATATATCTTTACAGTAGAATACTACTCAGCAGTGAAAAGGAACAAACTACTGATACATGATGAATCTTGAAAACATTGTGCTGAGTGGAAAAAAAAAAAAACTATGAAAAGTATATAAAAGGCAAAGGAAATCCATAGTAATAGCAAGCAGATCTGTAGTTGCCTGCAATTGGGGCCAGGAGGGACTGACAGCAGAGGGCATAGGAAACTTTTTGGGGTTATGGAAATAAACTATGTCTTCACCCACTGCTTAAATGGGTACATTTTATTGTATTCATGTAAACTGTACTGCATGTAAATTATACCTTCAAAAAGTTGTTTAAAGAAAAAAAGGGTGGAGTGCCTGGGTGACTCAGTCAGTTGGGCTCTAACTATTGATTTTGGCTCAGGTCCTGGTCTCAGGGTCCTGGGACTGAGCTCCACATCTGGCTGTGTGCTTAGTGTGGAGTCTGCTTGAGACTCTCTCTTGCTCTCCTTCTGCTCCTCCCCTGCTCTCTCTCTCCAAAATAAACAAACAAATCTTTAAAAAAACAATAAAGAAAAAGGGTATAGGAGACAACTTGAAGAAGATTCCACTGGATAAACATAGGATAATTACGGAGAAAAGACAGGAAAAGTTATTGGTACCTCTGGTTCCGATTCATTGTGCTAAAAACTGGCAAACAATGGGAAAGAATCAAATGCTTAAAAATCCATTAGAAAAATATTATGGTTTGCAAAGAGGCATTTCCCCTTGTCATTATACACGAACTTTCAAAGGCAAACGGTGATATCATCTAAGCACATGTTTCCTTGCACATCTTCGACAAATACTGAAAACCACTTACTTTTAGAGATAGCTCTCAGAGTATGAAATTATGAATATATTTGGATATTTAAAAAAAGGAAAAATACATTACTGACGTTTCATGAAACAAAACTTAAAATCTTATTCTTTTCATGAAATCTTCTCCATTGTAAAGAACCAGATACAAACTACTAATTTCACCCTAAACAACATGAGGGTTGAAACTGCTCATATGTTCTCTTTCTGAGCTATAGCAAGTTCTCAAATACTCCTTCCATGTTTGAGAGAATGAATGAGGCTCTGTTGTGAACACACACAGCAAACTCACATAATACCTAATTGCACAGTGTTCACAGAAATATTCCTTCTTGTATTCAGTCACTAATGCATTCATTTGAAGCTTACTGGGCTTATACTTTGTAGGATATGTAAGGAGGGAAGGGGTCAAATAAAAATATAATTGACAATCAAATAAAATATTGAGCAACATTAACACCTAACACTAATATAATGTATTATGACTAATTACAGCATTCTCATATTATCTATTTTATCCTTCAACTGAGGAAACTAGGCATTATTGATAGATGAGGAAAGTGAGACTCAAAATGTTTAAAAAACCTACCCAAGATAGTAAGGAGGGAGCAGAATCAGGTCTTAAATGCAAAGCACTTAATTTGGTATTTTTGTGCCATAATATCACATTACAGTAACAAGTTATATGAATGTAGAAGACTGATTAATTTTGCAGAGTGGAACTGGAGAGAGCATCCCAGAGCAACTAGCATTCTAGTCTGCAAGGCAAACACCAAGAAGGCAACAAGGAATAAACTCATGGCAAACTGCATGCCATAAAATCCAGAATATCTAAATCTAACCTTTATAGAGAGGCAATGATTTTTCCCACTGCTAAGTCAAACTATTTAAGATATACATAAATTGTAA